GATTGGTGCTTTGCACACTATTGGCATTCTCTTGATGGACTTCATGAGGTCGTCACCTGATGAAATGTTCTTGAAGGGGTTCTCAGAGATACTTAGCACTTGTTGGTCCTTTTGCCTTCACTCTGTGGTCCATCTCATCCCAAACCATCTCGACTTGGTTCATTACTCTCCTTCTTGGTTAAACAGCCCTTACACATCCTGCAGGTGTGTTCGGGGACATTGTTCTGTTGAAAAATAAATGATGGGATGCATGTCACTGCAGGATGCTGTGGTAGCCATGCTGGTTCAATGTGCCATCACATCTCCTCCTCCATGCTTCACAGTCGGAACCATGCATGTAGAGACCAACAGTCTACCTTTTCTGCACAAAGACACAGCGAGTGGAACCAAAGATCTCAATTTTGGACTCATCAGACCAAAGTACAGATTTCCACTGGTCTAATGTCCATTCCTTGTGTTTCTTGGCCCAAAGAAATCTCTTCTGCTTGTTGCTTTTCCTTAGTCATGGTTTTGTAGCAGCTATTTGACCATAACGGCCTGATTCACACAGTCTCCTCTGAACATGTAGAGATGAGTCTGTTACTGGAACTCTGTGGCATTTATCTGGACTCTAATCTGAGTTGCTGTTAACTTGTGATTTCTGAGGCTGGTGACTCAGATGAATGTATCCCCAGCAGTGATGGGAATAACGGCGTTACTTTTTTCAGTAACGAGTAATCTAACTAATTACTATTCCTATCGTTACAACGCCGTTACAGTTACTAACAAGAAAATGCGGTGTGGTCGTGTTACTATTTTTCAACAAACAGACGGTTGAAGCTGTGTTCTGAGCAGTTTTTAGCCACTTTGAACCCGTGTTTCTGTCGTATCTGGTAAAATTGTCACCCAAATCAAGTCTGGCTCTCCCACTGATGTCCTTCCCCCTCTCTTTTTAAAGAAGTTTGGGACACTATTGGACCTTATATTCAAAGGCTTATAAACAGCAGCCTGACTTTAGGCAATGTAACTTTTAAACAGGCAGGGGTCCAGCCTCTGCTGAAACGCCCTGGCTTGGATGCCTCTTTGTTGTGTAATTTCAGGCCTATTTCAAAGATGGTAAATGGCCTGTATTTGTATAGCGCTTTACATAGTCCCTAAGGAC